GGAAGGGAGCCCGAGACTCCAAGGCGCAGTGGGTATGGATGCACATCTTGCCCGCAGACCTCGGAGACGGTGGCGACCGACGCGGCAGGCAGGCTCTCCACCTGAGCGGCGAAAAGAAACGGGTCTTACGCGAAATGGCGCGGCAACGTGTCGCGGTGGCTGACGCAGGCCGCCAGCGCGGCACGCCACACTGGAGACAAGGGCGCTTACGCGTGGCCCTGCGCGGAAAGCTTACGCGCGAGTGTTCGCGCAATTGATCTCGTTTTCTTGCGTCGCTCACCTGAGACGAAGCTAGGACAGGGATCAAATCGAACAGGGATGGATCGGGGATCTCTGAGATCCAGCGACCCTGGAGGATGCATCGGGCGCCGCGGCCTCCTCGGAGCGCTGCGGAACGCTCTGAGAGCCTTCTGGAACGCTCTCCGGCGGGGGCTCATGGAGGGAGGCCCCATATGGGCCACCCCCTATTACCACGCGCCCGACGCTCTCTGGAACGACTTCTCCTGGTCCTAGCCGCTAGCCCCGCCCGACCACCTGCGCCCCGGCGCCGTGCTGCAGAACGCCCACCCAGGGCAGCTCGATCGCCGCGACCAGCCCCCTGGAGCGCGCCAGCACGACCGGCGCCGCACCCTCCGAGTCGTCGCCTTTCGGCGCTGCTTGCGCTCGGGAGCTTTTGCGCAGCGTGTCGCAGCGGCGGCCCCAGCGGCACGCTCCATCCCCCTGCCCCTCCTTCTCCTCCTCCTCTCCTCCTCCTCCTCCTCCTCCTCCTCCTCCTCCTCCTCCTCCTCTTCCTCCTCCTCCTCCTCCTCCTCCTCCTCCTCCTCCTCCTCCTCCTCCTCCTCCTCCTAAATTTCAGACGGTGCGTACAGGTTTCACGGAAAGCAGTTGACGCGCGCAACTATCGCCAGCTCGAGTGTCAGCCTGGTCGGCCAAATCGAGGGTCGAACCGTGAAGGGGGCGGGCCATAGTGGGCGCTCCGAAAGGAACTCGCGAAGCCCCCACCCCACAACGGCGCTCGCCGATGCAAAGTCGTTGAGAGCAGCTGTTTTGAGAGCTGACAGCGGTCGAAGTGATCGCAACATGTGTTCGGGAGGGGGTTGGGTATGTCCGGTTGGGCGGACGTGCTGAGATCAGAGAGGCATGTGCCTGCCTCTCTTGCTTCTTTCCGCCGCCGCCCGCTTGCCACCCGCTCGCCTGCTCTCTCTCCACCGTCAACCTGGACAGAGGCGCGCCCCCCTCGCGTTTCTGTCATCGCCTGACTGTCAAGCTTCAAGCCTTGGCCCGTCGGGGGCATCGGCAATGGGCTTGGTGAGCGTAGTCCGTCGCTAACCACACACCCTCTTGCAGATATGGATGGGAGTGGGTGTTGGAGGGGTTAAGTCAGCGAGTACATCGCTGTGAAGCGTGATTTTCTGGCGCAGCCAGGGATACGCCGAGAGCAGCCGTGCAGGATTGCCCACCCTGTCCGCCGCCAATTCCCGGCCACGGCCAAAAACTTCAATCCTTTGCAGCCTAGTGCCAGACGCTCTGCGTCCACATGGCTCCCTTGCACCCAGTTGCACGCGTAGTTAATACTATGGGACTGGGTGAGATTCGTGGGGTTAGGCAGGTGGTTGGAGGAAGTTACTGTCTGACTTGACTTCAGGTGCCCGTGCAGAGTTTGCGAGTCTCGCCTCTTAGCACAGCCACACGAGCTGACTGTGCTGACTGCCTCTGCTAGCTGCAGCGCCGCCATTAGCTGACAGGCCATACGCTTCATCAGCAGCGCAATCCAAAATCCCTCCCTCCCTCCCTCCTTCCCTCCCTCCCTCCCTCCCTCCCTCCCTCCCTTTCAGTACACCCTCCTCCTCCTCCTGCCCCTCCTCCTCCTCCTCCTCTCCTCCTCCTCCTCCTCTTCTCCTCCTCCTCCTCCTCCTCCTCCTCCTCCTCCTCGCCTCCTCCTCCTCCTCCTCCTCCTCCTCCTCCCTCCCTCCCTTTCAGTACACCCTCGGGGCCCCGGGGGGGGGCCTGCCTGCGCCCCCCGGGGGGGACCTCTCTGGGCCCCTCGAAGGCTCCCTTCCTGCAGCCTCCGCGTTTCCCTCCTTGCGGGCGGCCCGATCGCCCTGCAGCGGGGGGGCCCCGGACAGGCACACCATGGGCATCTTGGTGGTGCCGAGCGCCAGGTCGATCTCGTCAAAGGTGGCAAAACTGGTTTCGCTCTTCTCCTGAAGGGGGGAGCGGAAAGATGCCGGTGTCTATAGAGTCGGACTTGATTGGTCAGGACCCCCGCGAGAGGACGCAAGACCTTTCCGAGGGCCGCATCGCCATAGGAATGTGAGAGGCAGGGGTCGCGAGACACAGGACGCGAGGGTGCCCTGGATCTGGCAGGGTCGACCTCCTGGCCAGAGCCGACCGTACTCCATGGACCTTTCCTGGGGCGCGTTCTGAACAGGGCGTTCTGGGGCGAAAGCAGTCGTGGCGTCGAGGCCCCCCCTGGAGGCCCAGAAAGGCGAGCACGAGGGAAGGGGGGGCCATCAGCGTCGGGACACGTTTTTCTCCCCCCCCCTCTTCCGCGCAGGAAGCTCTCGCCCCACGCGGCTGAAACTTCGGACTGAGCCCACCGCTGAGGATGACGATCTCCACGAGCCCCGTCACCGTCGCGCGCGCGAGGACCGCCGCGGGCGAGTGCGCGACCACGTGCACGCTGCAGTAGTCGCCGCCGCGGTGTCTCGGCGACCGCGGGGTCTGGTCCCCTGGGGTCTCGTCCCTCTCCTCGACCAGCACCTGCTCCGCGGGGGTCCACCGCTGCGCGTAGGCCCTGGCGTCGCCGTGCATGTGCAGCCGGTGCCGCACGGGCACCCCCGCCTCGGGCGGCGGCGCAGGCGGAGCCACGGCAGGGCCGCCCTGCTGCCGCAGCGCCTCGCAGGCGTACGCCTGGTGCAGGGGCCAGGGAGACACACACTTGAATAGACGCAACCCCCAGGATTCCCCAGATCTTTCCCATGTTTTCTAGGTTCTCGTCGCCCCCCCCTCTTCCCAGATGTTCCCACACTCTCCGGGGATTCGACGATGAATTGCGGCTGTGTGTGTGTGTGTGTGTTTTCCCCTCCCGAGCCTGGGCCTCCACGTCGCCGGGGCCCTCCCTGCTCAGCGCACCCAGGACCTGCTCCCGGCTCCCGCCTGTCGTCGGCTGCGCGCAATGAGTGCCCCATGGGCAAGGGCGGCCTCTGGCGCGCCGCTTCCGGGGGGCACGCGGGAGGGCCGAGTCCAAGCGTGCCGGGCAATGCTGACTACCTACCAGACCACCCCAACCCAACCCGAAGACCCGAATTTCGGGTTGGGGGGGTAAGGGTTCCACGCGCGTTTTTGTTGATGTTTCCTGACCACCCCCCACTAGAAATCGAGGGTAAATCTGAGCCTTCGGGTTGGGTTGGGGTGGTTTGGTGGGTGGTGAAATGCCGGGGGGCACCCCCGTGAGCCCGCACCAGAGGTTACTCCGGCGAGAGGCCACTCCTGCTTGCGGCCGATGCCGGCTCCGCGCAGGGAGTGGCCCCGGGGAACGGTGCCCTTCGACGCGCGGCATCGGGGGGCCGCGGGTGGGGGTGGGGGGGGGGGCCCAGGGTCCGGGCGCGCAGGCGCGTGCGGGGGGGCGCCGCCGTGCCCGCGCCAGCGGTCACTCTGGCGAAGGGTGGCTCGTACCCGTCGGTCGGAAGGAGTATAGGTAGAGCCATGGAGCAGGAATGCGCTGGAAGCAGATTGGATTTCCGCCCGCCCCCTGGAAGAGGAGGGAAGAGGAAGGAGACGCACTCGACGATGGTTGAAGTAGGGAGGCGCCCATCAAGCAGCGCGGGGTCTGGGAATCCAAGAATGCCTTCTTTCAACGACAGGCGTGCACTTCGGGGATGGACAGACCCCCCTTTAGTAAAACGTGGTTTAGTGAAAACGACCTGAGGCCCAAACCTGGCGGGCGCAAGACTGGAAAATCACGGCCACGGCGCCCTCTCGAGAACCAAAAAAACTGACAATTCACGAATCGACGTGTCACTGTTGGGGGTTCTGTCCACCCCCGATTGAAGCAGGAAGGCACCCATCAAGCAGCGCGGGGTCTGGGAATTCAAAAATACCTTCTTTCAACGACAGGCGTGCACTTCGGGGATGGACAGACCCCCCTTTAGCGAAACGTGGTTTAGTGAAAACGACCTGAGGCCCAAACCTGGCGGGCGCAAGCCTGGAAAATAACGGCCACGGCGCCCTCTCGAGAACCGAAGACGGACAATTCACTAATCGACGTGTCACTGTTGGGGGTTCTGTCCACCCCCGAGTACTGTTACGTGCAGCCGAGCCTGGGAGGTGGGCCTGCGCCGGGAGCACGGGGCTCCGGAAGCACATCCGGCCGCGGGTGCTCAGGAACACGACGGCCATGCAGGGCCACAGGTCGCCCACGGCGCCAGCGGGTGCGCCAGGGCCCCCCGCGAGGGCGCCGAAGGCGAAGTCCGCGACGCCCTCGCCGGGCTCCGCGCTGCCCCCGAAGGCCACCTCGAACTGCACCTCCGGGCAGGCGGCCGTCGCCCTCCGCGAGAGGTCGAGCAGCTGCCACGTGCCGTCGCTGAGGAGGGCTCCGACGTGGAGGTCGCTGAGGGGGTGCCACAGCAGCTTCACGAAGCGGACGTCGGTGGAGCGGGAAGCGTCTCGCGGGGCGTCCGAGGGCGCGAGGGGCACGGCGGAGACGTGGGCCCTGCCGGTGTCCGAGGCGACCGCGTCCAGCTCCGGCACCACAAATGCCGCACAGCATCGGGGCGCCACTAGCAGCGCTGCCCGCCCGCTGGAGTTCAGGAGGAGCTGGTGGAAGGGGGCCTCCTCGACGCCGTAGCCGGGCACCTCGACCACGAGCGTCAGCTGGGCGCCCTCCTCCGCGCCGCGCTGCGCCGAGCCAACAGCACCGCCCGGGCCCGCTGCCCGAGGGCCCGCCAGCACGGAGACGTGCACGGACACCTGAGCGACGAAAAGGGACGGGCCTTCCGCGCGAGATGGCATGTCACGTTGCATCCTCGGGGGGACCTCCGCCCTGTCCCCTCGCGGCCCCGTCCGCGTCGAATCCGCGTCGGATCCGTGTCGGACTCGTCGGATCCGTGTCGAATCCGCGCCGAATCCACGCCGAATCCGCGTCCGGTCCGCATCGAGCCCACGGCGGGCACGAGAAAAGACACCAATTTGGGGGGGGACGCGCGAGGTCCCCCGAAGATGGCAGCGTGGGGCATGGCGACCTCACGCGGTGGCGTGCGCGGGCCGCCAGCGCGTCGCGCCACACTGGAGACGAGGGCCACGTGCGCGCCATCTTGCCGCGGAAGGCTTGCGCGCGAATGTCCGCGCAGTATGATGGGCCTGTCTTCCGCCGCCACCACCATAAGTTGGAAGGGGGGAGGGGGTCCTCCTCCCGCTCTTCCTCCTCCTCCTCCTCCTCCTCCTCCTCCTCCTCCTCCCCCTCCTGCTCCTCCTCCTCCTCCTCCTCCTCCTCCTCCTCCTCCTCCTCCTCCCCTTCCTCGTCCTCCTCCCCCTCCTGCCCCTCCTCCTCCCCCTCCTCCCCCTCCTGCCCCTCCTCCTCCCCCTCCTCCCCCTCCTGCCCCTCCTCCTCCCCCTCCTCCCCCTCCTGCCCCTTCCTCCCCCTCCTCCCCCTCCTGCCCCTCCTCCTCCTACTCCTTTCCCCCCATCCAACTCATGGTGGTGGTGGTGGTGGAGAGCAGGCCCATCACAGCGGGGCCCCGTGTTCTTCCGTCGCGGACCTGCGAGCCGGGCGCGCCCGCCGCCCCGGACGGGGCCTGCGCCCCGAGCACGAAGGCCGCCGCCCTGCCGGTTTTCGCGGCAGCTCGTGGGAGCCTCCCGGGTCCGTGGTGCTGTGGCGCTCGCGCAGCGACGCTGGCCGACGCTACACCGACGCTACACCGACGCTAGGCCAGCGCTGTGGCTGGCCAGACGCAAGTCGACGCGGGTGCACCCGAACAGCGGAGTCACGAGGGTACTCCAGGGAATGAGGGTGGCACAACAGCTCGGCGCCCTCTTGATGCGTGTGTCTAGGCGAAACCAATGGAAGCCTGTGACAATTCAAACGGAAAGCCCTACTTGTGTATCACCTTCCACACCGTCTACTCGGAAGGCATGGAGAGAAGAGGCCAAATCGGCTACACGCAAGAGTGACCCGAGGCAAGAGTGACCTTTGATGCGCGACTTTCGGGAGCTGCGGGGGGGGGGGGGGGGGGGGGAGGGGCAAACCCGAGCGCACAGCCCGCTGCTGCCGCATCGCATCCAGCCATCTGAGGGCCCCAGTGCGCCCGCACCCAAAGTCACTCTGGCGAAAGGTCACTCCTACTGTGGCTAGACAAGTGCGTTCCACTGCTCGCCAAGTGACTGCTCGCAAACGGCCTGGATCCGCCGCGAGGCATCCCCGACCCACTGCGCCGGAGACACAAGCACTTGCCGCCGGACGTGTGCGAGGGGAGGCACCTTTTGCTGGCAGCGGCACGCGCTCGGCGACGCTCGTGTAGCCGACCCAGGTCGGCTACACGCAGAGAGTGGCCCTACAGGGCAGCTTTTCACACATAGGATGTTATATATATATATATATATAAAATAGGATGTTTAATACATGACTAATTTATGAATAGATGTATGCATGAACTCCTCGTTGTTTTTAATACCAAATCCCTGCATGCTTTACCTAACAGCGAAGACTGATAGGTTTCTAGTAGTGTCAAAAAAAAACAGCATGACTCCCCAAGGGGGTCTGGGCGGGATCCGGACGGGATCCGGGGGAATCCAGGGATTCCTTTTTTAGCCAACAGTAACGCACTTCGTGGTCTTCGAGTTCCCAGAACTCCATTCCTGGGCATGATTTTGAATGCCCGGGGCCAACTGTAGGCCACTTCGTGTTCTTCGAGTTCCCAGAACTCCACTCCTGGGCATGATTTTGAATGCCCGGAGCCAACTGTAGGCCACTTCGTGGTCTTCGAGTTCCAAGAACTCCATTCCTGGGCATGATTTCGAATGCCCGGAGCCAACTGTAGGCCACTTCGTGTTCTTCGAGTTCCCAAACCTCCATTCCCCGGCCACATTTTGAATGCTGAGGCAGGCTGATGCTGAAGCTGAAGCAGGCTGAGGCTGAGGCAGGCTGAGGCTGAGGCCGAGGCTGAAGGCAGACTGAGGCTGAGGCTGAAGGCAGACTGAGGCTGAGGCTCATGCAGGCTGAGGCTGAGGCTGAGGCAGGCTGAGGCTGAGGCTGAGGCAGGCTGATGCTGAGGCAGGCTGAGGCTGAGGCTGAGGCTCATGCAGGCTGAGGCTGAGGCACCTGAGTCTGGGCCGAGGCTGAGACCGCGCTGCTGAGGCTGAGGCAGGCTGAGGCTGAGGCTGACGCAGGCTGAGGCCGAGGCAGGCTGAGGCTGAGGCTGAGGCAGGCTGAGACTGAGGCTGAGGCAGGCTGAGGCTGAGGCGGAGGCTGATGCAGGCTGAGGCTGAGAGGCTGACGCTGAGGCTGAGGCAGGCTGAGGCTTGAGCAGGCTGAGTCGAGGCCTGAAGCGGCTGAGGCTGAGGCTTGGAGTTGCTCATGCAGCTAGCTGACAGGCGGAGGCTGAGGCCGAGTCTAAGGCTGAGGCAGCAGACTGAGGCTGAGGCTGAGGCAGGCTGAGGCTGAGGCTGAGGCGGAGGCAGGCTGAGGCTGAGGCTGATGCAGGCTGATGCTGAGGCAGGCTGAGGCTGAGGCTGAGGCTGATGCAGGCTGAGGCTGAGGCAGGCTGAGGCTGAGGCCGAGGCTGAAGGCAAACTGAGGCTGAGGCTGAAGCAGGCTGAGGCTGAGGCAGAGGCAGGCTGAGGCTGAGGCAGGCTGAGCTGAGGCAGGCTGAGGCTGAGGCTGAGGCTGATGCAGGCTGAGGCTGAGGCAGGCTGAGGCTGAGGCCGAGGCTGAAGGCAGACTGAGGCTGAGGCTGAAGCAGGCTGAGGCTGAGGCTGAGGCAGGCTGAGGCTGAGGCTGAGGCAGGCTGAGGCTGAGGCAGGATGAGGCAGGCTGAGGCTGAGGCTGAGGCTGCAGGCTGAGGCTGAGGCAGCTTGAGGCTGAGGCCGAGGCTGAAGGCAGACTGAGGCTGAGGCTCATGCAGGCTGAGGCTGAGGCTGAGGCAGGCTGAGGCTGAGGCAGGCTGAGGCTGAGGCTGAGGCAGGCTGAGGCTAAGGCTGTGACTGCGACTGCCGTTGACAGCAGAATTCTACAACTGGATTCTCATCTGAATCTTAAGGGGAATGCTTCCAGATATGCTCCTACACATCGCTGTTAGGTTGCTTTGCCGGGATAATGACACATGATCCGCACGCGGAGCATGTATTGAAACCGGCGCTGTAGGCAGGAGCGACCTCTGGTTCGCGGCTCCACCCGCGGCGCGTGGTTGGCCAGAGCCAGGCGCGCAGTGCCGATGCCATCGCCCCGCGCTCGGAGGTCGGAGGGCCCCAGAGTTCGGACGCCCGGCAAAAAGGGCACGAATAAACTGCGCAGGATGCCCAACAACGCATGTTTGAAGGTGCCCACAAACACACAAATAAATACACATTAATAACATAATTCCCGATATTTTCCAATATTTTCTGGGTTTTCGTCTTCCCCCCCACTTCCCATATTTTCCTATATTTTCTGGGGAATCGACGATGAATTGTGTCTGTGTGTTTTTCCCCTCCTGAATGTTGTCCAAAACCGACAGCGGCCGCTGTTGGGTAGGCGGCCGTCTATCTCAAATAGACAATGGCAGCGGCGACGCCGACAGCGAACCCTGTTCAGAATGAACAGGAACTGCTGTTGGACTTCGTAGCCAGTGTTTCCGTACCCACCTGCGATCGTCCCGATCAGCGTCGACTACACGCAAGAGTGACCCTGGGTCAGGGTGATATTTGGCGCGCGGCGTTTTGTGGGCCGCGGGGGGGTCAAACACAAGCGCGCGCACCGCATCGCGCTTTGCGATCGGGGGACCCCAGTGGGCGCGCACCAGAGGTCACTCCGGCGAAGGGCCACTCTTACGTGCAGTCGACAGGGGGCCCGCACCAACGGTCACTCCGGCGAAGGGTCACTCTTACCTGTAGTCGACCAAGGGAAGCTGGCGGCGCGCACAACGGGGGCAGGGGGAGGGGGGAAGGCTTCTGAGAAGGAGGCTGCTTCTTTGAGGGCGCCAGTCTTACATCTAGAGTTAAGTCGGGCCTGTCCCCCTACAGCCCGATTTGGGGTAACAAAATTATAGAATACCCGAACAGATTCCAAAAATGCCCAAAACTGGAGAAAACAAATCCCCTGACTATTTTTTTGAGCTTCCCCCCTGTAGAGGGACAGGCCCGACTTACATCCACAGAGAAGGCCCGCGACTCCGAGGGAGGTTCCCGCGATTCGCTGCCGAGCCTCCCTGCGCCCTCCGGGCCCGCGGGCAGGCGCCGCACCGCCGCGAGGTCGCGGAGCGGCGCGGCCCCCTCCGGGCGGCCGCCCGGCGGGGCCTCGCCGGCGGGCGCGGGCCGGTCCCGGAAGGCCTCCTTCCACACGGGCAGGGACTCCAGCGCGGCACCCCACTCCATGGCAGGGGGCCACCGCGCACGGGAAGGGGAGGGGGAGGGCGAGGAGGAGGAGGGGGAGGAGGGAGGGAGGAGGAGGGGAGGAGGAGGAGGAGGAAAAAATATAAAGATAAAAAAAAAAAAAAAAGGAGGGGAGGGGGAGGGGGAGGGCGAGGAGGAGGAGGAGGCGGCGGCGGCGGAGGGCCGAGGGAGCGGCGGGTCCCTTGTCGGGATACGCGCTGGGGCCCAGGAGCCCCGCACGCAGCCGCTCTCCCCCTCTCGGGGTCTTGAGCCAACTGCCTGGCTCTGCGTGCGGCTTTGTTGCTGGTGACCCTCCTTCTGCTACAGCTACTCCTCCTATGTATCCCTGTCCTCTTCCCTCCTCCTGCTCCTCCCCCACTTCCTGGTGATCACAGCTGCGTGGTCAAGCTTGTACTATAGAGGTCTTCCTCCTCCTCCTGCTCCTGCTCCTGCTCCTCCTCCTCCTTCTCCTTCTCCTCCTCCTCCTCCTCCTCCTCCTCCTCCTCCTCCTCCTCCTCCTCCTGTTATTGTTCGTATCATGTTTCATCGTCTGATTATTCATATGATTATGTTTATCATTATTCTTCGTATTATTAATTGGAACAGTATTAGTACACTTCGTATTAGTAGTTTTGTTATTAGTATTCGTAAGATGAATAGTATTGCTCCGTATCCTAGTACTCGTTGTGTGCGTATTATTGTTCGTCACACTGATAATATTATTATTCACATTGATAACCTCAGTATAAGTAGTAGTCGTATGATGCTCAATCCTCTTCACTGTATGATGATCCGTCTTATTCTTATGTATGTGATTCGTCTACGTTTCTTCGCATTGTCATTATGATTCGTCTTTTTCTTCTTCGTACTAGTGTTCCCATTACTCTTCCCAGCCTCACTATCATTATTAGTATCCGTATTGATGTTCGTCTGCTTATTGTTCTGAGTCTTGACACAATTCGTATTAGACTCTTTCCTTCGCATTCGGATTCGTGGTCTTGTTCTTATTGTTACCAATCGCATTCGCATTCTTATTCTGACGATTCGTGTGATGCGTACCTCTCCTATTCCATAGCATTCACACGATTCGACTTAATAAGATTAATAGTAACATTCGCATTATTAGTATTAATAAGTTTCCGCCTCCTCCGCCTCCTCCAACTCCGCCTCATCTTCCGCCTCCTCCCTTCCTCCTCCTCCTCCTCCTCCTCCTCCTCCTCCTCTCTCCTCC